GGGTAGGACCCACTTTATTAGGGGCACCTAGCTAGTACTGGGTAGGACCCACTTTATTAGGGGCACCTAGCTAGTACTGGGTAGGACTCACTTTATTCGGTACACCTAGCTAGTACTGGGTAGGGCTTGCTTTATTAGTACAACTAGCTAGTACCAGATAGGACCAGCTTTATTAAGTACAACTACCAAGTACCGGGTACTGCTTTATTAGGTAAACCGAGCTACTACTGGGTAGGACCCACTTTATTAAGTACCCTTAGCTAATACTGGGGCAGGACCCACGTTAGCCTCCAGAACTACTTCAAGCATAGATGACTTCTGTGTTGTACTGAGCTGTTATTCTTGTATTTGTAACTTTTCTTTTAGTTTTAATGAGTCTGGCCATTCTCCCCTAACTTCTCCTATTAACAAGGTGTTTTTGGCCATAGAAATGCCACAGAATTCTTTGTAAACTCCAGACACTGCAGTGTGTGAAAATCCCAGGAGGGCGGCTCTTTCTGAGAGCTGGAACCACAGTTCTGGCACCGACACTCACACCAACTTTAAAACCACTTGGATCAGGTGTCTTAGCTGTTATAATGCTGCACAGTAACTGAACTTCTTGACCCTGGCTGCATGCTGTGGATTTAAAGTTCAAGTCCCATGGTTTGTAGGATCTAGAGGAGCAGGCTGCCTGTGTCCTGTGTTAGCAAACAGGTGTGGCCAACCAGTGTACACTGGCCATATAAATAGTGATGTATGTCCTGAGCTGAAATAAAGGATACTATTTTAAAATGCCCTTGGACAATATAGGATATATATATATATATATATATATATATATATAACAGTTATAATCCTAATGCTTGTTATTTTGCATTCAGATCCTTCACTACCACTGCCCTGGTCCATCCACCCATTTATCTGGTACTGCATTTTTTTTTATTTTTGGGGGGGGGGGGGGGGGTTATCCCAGGTAGGCCAGGGCATAATGCAAAATGTGGACAGTGGTGACCTAATGGTTAAGGATGTGCACTTGTAATTGAAGGATTGCTGGTTTGAACTGAATGGAATAGTATTATTCGGAATCCAGTCTGAAAATTTTAGTGGGTGAATACTATTGCAAGGCACCGTAAATGCAAATAAAATACAACATGAAGTATAGATTATATGGAAAAGTAATGATGGATGTAAGTTATTTTATGTCTGTAAAGAACCTCGATGTTAGCCACACATGACAACTAAGAAATAACAAATCTGATAGCTCCCCACAATTTGGATTTTAATTTAAGATTCCATAGTGAAAAGCTGGCAATGTCTAAAAACAAGGAGATTTGATCTTATGCCTGCTTTTGCTGTGGTATAATGATAAGCTGTGCTCCTTCTATCTGCAGATGGACACTAATAAACTCAATTCGGGTCTCTGAAACGGGACTTGCCATCACCCCCAGTCCCTGATGGGTGTTTATTAGAATGGAAAGAACCCATCAGTTCCGGGATATAGTCTCACACATGGGAGGCTTAGTAAATAACTCTGAATAAGACTGGGGAAATCAGGCTGTATGACCCTAAGGGCTCACTGAATTAAGCCGGCTGAACCGTCCCCCTGTCTCCCTGCGGCCGTTATAGCGCCGGGGGCTAGCTACCGGCAGCAGGCTGACGCGGCGCTCTCAGCGACGTGGACTCCGGCCGCAGCTGCCGGTCACCAGAGAACGCCAGGGCTAGATGTCCCCGAACGGAGTCCAGGAATAACAAACGGTGTGAGATCATGGAAAATCGGGGCTCGCCGAGAAAAAAAAAGTGGTGAAGTTAATAAAGAGGTTTTATTCTTCTTTTATACGAGTGCCTTGTCGCTGGAGTCCTCGGCTGATTGATTCACGTCCCCCATTAATGAGCGCCAGCAGAGTTTGCTCCAGCCCCCAGAGTGCACTTGGTGAATTCGTCTCCTGATATCAGTTTATCTACTGTGCAGAGCCCTGTTCCATATAAATTACAGATGCAGCTGAGCGTGAAAATCCCACCGCAGAGACACGCATGGATCGTTCAGGGTCACACTGAAACAGTTCAGCCATTCTGGGGCTGTACATGCAAACGGAAGTCATCCGGCCCATTGACAGTGTTCATCAAAGGTCCAGCACGCCGTAAACACCTGTTACAGACCCTAAGGTGACTCTACAGAACCTAATATTTACAACATCACTGTATTTACAACTGTAACAGAAAATGTTAAAATGAACAGAGATACTTGTAACATAAATGGCAATTTAAATTGTGAAAGTAAGACCGTAATGGATGAACGAACCTGAAATAAAAATCAAAAGTGTTGGGGAAAAAAAAAAACAATCTTGGTGAGGTCAAAATATTATGGGTCCTAAGGAGGATTTGTAAGAACTGGGGAAAAAATGTTTGGTTTGTAATTCAAAAAGATTAAATAAGAGTATAAATAAATTTAAAATAAAATTAAACCATGGCTTTTTTATTTCCAAAAAGCTTCACTTTTGTATTTACATTTTGTGCAAAAAACATTTAAAGGTTTCAAAGATTTTACACTGTAAGATAAATTCAAGGCACATACATCATACAACAACAATATTTTCTAAGAGAAAAAAGTAAACTTTGGTTCCTAAAGAGGGTAACAGATTTAGATGTCGACTGAAAATGCAAACAGAATGGTAAAGCATGGAACTGGCAAAAAGAGCAGTAATGAGATAAAAGGTAGTATTACCTATTGTCACAGTAAACACAACATACCGGGATATACTACTGTTTGGAAAATGGCTGTTTCACAAAAATCAATGCAGTCTTTGAATCTAATTTTTATATATCTGGAAGAGAACCTTTGCTTAGGTCAATATAAATCTGATCCAAAAATGTTCCACACACACACAGTAATAATAATAATAAAATAATAATAATAATAATAATAATAATAATTTACTGCCTAGTAATTACTGAAAATCCTTAAATCAAAAACAGATTTTAGGTAGCATAAAAATCCAAATTACGGGTATGTGTAGAGCTGACCTTTAATATATTTTTTGTATTTGGATTCTGACTCAGATTTATTAATTTTTTTTTGTCTATGTAATCCACAAAATCGGCATTTATACTGCGTAATAATCACTCTATATTACTCATTGAACTTGTTTGAAGAGACTTGATAATAATAAAATAATAATAATAAATAAGGTGAACAGATTTGGCTCACTTCAAAAGATCATTGTTTGATAAGCATCTTCCATTTTATGAAGCCATAGAGGGCTCTAAAGTGTGACGCTATCTTCATCTTGCCACCAAATGGCATAATATGCTGTTAATGGGACTTTGTCCTGCACAGCTAACAAATAAACCTAATGTGAGCCTTCTCAGATGGATGGCACAGAAAGAAGATGCACTTGCTGAACGTACAAAACAATCTATTACTGGTGTTATTGATGATAATCACATTCGAAACACATTGGTGTTTGCAAAAAACACTATCATCGCTTCTGCCTGGATTACCTCCTGTTTACTCTTGAACGAATAATGATATTGTGCTGTTCAAAATAAATCAATAAACATTTATTTTTCCCCTGCAAAGGACAAATCTAAAGACACATTCACACATCTATGTTCCCCTTCTTTTTTCCTGCTTCTTTCTTTTCGGAAACGAGTGAATGTCTCACTCCTCTCTTGGAGGGATTACTGGAGCACAGTGGGGCTGGAGCCAGCAGACTTTCTTTGAAAAGGGCCTAAAACAACATCTTGCCAGGGAAGATCATGTCTTTGACTAGGAGGACTAAGGGACTCTCAGGCTTTATATATTTAAACTATGGGTGGTTTCACTGACCACGAAAGAAGAAGAAGAAAAAAAGTTTAATTTTCAGTAAAACATCTTATCTTCTTCTAACTTAAGTCATCATGATAACGTAAGTATGTTCCTGTTCTGATGAATCAGCATTGGTTATTTCTAAATTAATTTATCCATCCATCCATCTTCCAACTGTTTATCTGGTACAGGGCTGCGGCTGGGGGATCTTTTGGATCGTATTTGAACTCAAAAGCAAGATAAACAAATAAATAAACATTCATTTACTGACACAATGGTTATTAATCAATGCTAAACCCAAAATATTTCACAGGCCATAATGGATGGCATAATTATTCTAATTCCACACTAATTCATCACAGTAAACAAAAACAGCTATTTCTTGTTGACTTGGTGTTTTAACTGTATGTGCAGTTTGTATTGTGTATTGTTTGAATACAGCATTCATCCTACTGATTAATATAAGAAATCAAAAACATATAATTTAGTCCCACATTCAAAGTTCCCGTTTCAATGTAGCATTTTAACGTGTTCCGGATAATTGAATGTCTGGAAGCTGCATATCTGTGTTAGTTATTTGTTAAAGACAAGAGTATTGCAGCATAAATTAATAAGCAAAGTTAAAGAACACTGGCATGTGCAGAGATTCGAGATCGTCTCATGTATGCTGTACTGCGGCCGTGCGTTCGTCTACTGTTGCGGGTGAGAGCGGCTCCACCTGGTGGCCAGCACTTCCATATCAGCCTGAGCCAACAACTGAGTCAAATCTTCACATATCGCTAAAAACATTCACTGGGCTATTTTCAACAGTCTACTTTCAGCCTACACAGAGCTAGAGGGTGCTGAAATTCACTCTCTTCTTCCGAGTGACTGCATTTCCAAAAAAGTTAATTTCCTGAATGGATGGTTATACTATCGATTGCATTAAAAGGGCCTCCCCAGTTTTCTTTAAAACTACGAGACCAATATTTCGGTGACGATTATATCTCTCAGCCAGTGTGCTGTTCTAGTGGCCTCGCAATGAACACGCCTGCGCACCTCGATAAACAGCACGTTCCACCACGCTGGCTAGCAGATCACCAAGGTTCTATCGGCATTCAAAAATAAAACCAAAGACCTTCTGTAAGAAGTAAGAAGAGGACCTTGATTGTACAAATGAATCTGTACAGCACTTGAGTAATACCACTCAAAAGCCAACAAATTATAAACCAATTTGTATTTCATTTTTTTTTTTTTACTAAGAAATAGAAAAGATAGCAGAATTCCACGTTATCGTCCACAGTATAAATTACATCGTAGACAGGTCTTGGAAATGTATATAGTTTTGTACAGATGTATTGTATTTAACTAGGTTCTTATTACAAAGGCTCGACATCCAACCGAAAAGCATCATGTGTGGCAGCAGTCTGCGTTTGGAACATTGCTCTTGCAGTACGCTGTGCTATTGTTACTGAGGTGACAGTCTCTAAAGCCAATGCCCCCATTTGGAGTGTAAATAGGCTGTATTCTGAAATCCCCTTTCAGCAGTTGTTCATTGTTCAGGGGGACTATCTGGAAACTAGTTTCAGTCATTTCCAGGATGGAGTTGTCCTTCTTCGTGCCCGCCTCACAGTAGTCATCTTTTCTCCTGCCCCGGTTGTATTTCCATTTTGAGGAGGAGGAGGAGGAGCCTGCCCTTTTGTGCATGTGCCAGCAGAAGACGCTGAGGAGCACCACCAAGACGACGAAAACGGCGCCGCCGATCAGGCCGGCCAGCAGTAGCGGGGAGCTGGCGTCCTGCTGCGTGGCCTGCTCAGGGCCGCCGAAGGAGGCCGAGCCCGTGGTGGCTTCGGCGCACACGCTGTCATCTCCGGGCCGATAGGCGTTGAAGGCGTCCAGCACGTGGACGCAGACGCGGTACATGGACCTGGGCTCCAGGTCAGTCAAGTCGTACTTCTGGTGCTCCCCGCTGACGGTCCGCTCCTGCGCAATGCCCCCACTCAGGCTCTGGCCCAGCTTGACCCAGGACACCTTGTAGGCCGTGACAGGAAAGGTGGACTCCCAACTCACCTGGATGCAGGTGCCGTTGACGACGTGGAAGGCAACCTGGAGGGGATCCGGGAAGGGGGGCATGGGGGGATCCGTCCTCTGGGTGTCATCCTCGGGTGTGGGTTCCGGGAGGATGGGGGCTGGGGATGTGGTTAAGGGGAGCCCCGCGGAAGGCAAGGTGGTGCTGACAGCAGCAGTGGTATTAGGCCAGTGTGGGAGCATAGGGGGTCCCAGAGTGGGCAGCCCAGCACCATCCGGGCACTGGATAGCATCCAGACTAAGCTCCCGGATCACCATTCCACGCAACCTCTCCGGCTTGTGGCACATGAACCCGCGCACGTTGAGCGTCGGTGGCAGGGCCTTCAGCCAAGTGATGACCCAGCCAATGGCGCAGTCGCAGTGCCACAAGTTGTTCCTAACGGTCAGCTGCCGAAGACTGACAAGGCCATCAAAGACCCCCTGTGTCAGCGACTGCAGCTGGTTGCTGGAGATGTCCAGTCTCTCGAGCTGCCGGAGGTTGGAGAAGGCCGTCACAGGGATCTCATTCATCTGATTGTCCTGCAAAGAGAGCTTGACCAGGACCGCCCCCGGCAGGAGAGGGGGAGGGGTGGTCAAGGAATTGCGGGCCAGGGATAGCTCCCGGAGATTGCCTAAATCCTGGAAGGTTCCTACGGCTATGTCTTCATCGGTGAGCAGGTTCCCGTCCAGGAGAAGGCGCTCTATCCGGGTGACGTTGCGGAAGGCTTCCTCGGCGACGGACGCAATGCGGTTCTCATCCAAGCGCAGCTCGCGCAGGTCCTCCGGCAGCCCGATCGGCACGCTGCTCAGGTGGTTCTTGGTCAGGAAGAGCATCTGTAGGCTGACGGCCTCGCGGAAGGCTCCCTCTTCCACGCCCACGGTAGAGATGGAGTTATCGTCCAGGTGGAGCTCCACCAGGCGGCTGAGCTGCGCCAAAGCGGCGCGCGAGATGGTCTGGATGTTGTTCTCCTGCAAGTGGAGCACACGCACGTTCCGGGGCAGGTTGAGGGGGAACTCGTCCAGCTGGTTCCCGTACAAGTAGACGGTCTCCACTGAGGATACGTGGTGCAGCTCCAGCGGAAAGCCTGCATTGTTGATTTGGTTGTTGTGGAGGAAGAGGATCTTGTAGCCCTCCTGTATTCCCAGAGGCACCGAAGTCAGACTGCGGTCGTTGCAATAAAGAAACGTCCTGTCGCAGCGGCACTCCTGCGGGCAGCCCGCGGCCTGGTAGAACTGCAGATGAAGGCTCAGCAGAATAGTTATCCAAGATTTGAGGAAGCTCGGCCAGTCCTTATTCCACAGCGCCACCTGTAACTCCATAGTGCCAAGTAGGTGGAGCCCAGAGACAGCCAATGAGATGTCAAGTTGGAATGGAAAATTACCAAAAAAAAAAAAAAACAATATCCACCAGAGAGGAGTTCTTTGGAAGGCCCCCCGCCGACGCTCACTCTGTTGAGGGGTGTGCTATGGCGACGCGGACGGGGGTAATCCTCTTATAATTGCTTGTCCTAAGTGCAAGGGGCCGAGTCTCATTAACTAGTGCTGCTTTGTGGCCAGCCTCGTCCATGCTCCGCAGTCAGATGGCGGTGGGGCCCTTCACGGCTCGCTCGCCGCCTGGCGAGGGCCAATTTAGTAGCGTGCGGCGGCACGGAGGCACTGTCAGGCTCCTCTCACAGCCGGCCGCCTGCCTGCCCGCCCGCTCGTCACACGCGGTTGATCCCGCACCGGGGTGGGCTGCCTGCCTCTTGACATTTGGATCCGGAGACCTATCGCAACAAAATAAACAGGCGATTAGGAATTTCCGCCGCCGCCTCGAGATAATCGCTTGCACGCTTGCGCACGCACAATCCACATCTAAACGCGAAACAGGCTGTGCCAAACGCAAGGCCGTGAGGTATTTTGCATACTGGTTGGGGTTGGGGGGGGGGGGGCATAAAAGGGACATTCATTCCCCCCTCACAGTCGACAGAAAGAACACTGTATTCATTTTTAAAGTTTCTTCCCCTGGTACGTAAGCGGGCTTTGCACGTATGCTTCTCTGACAGCAAAATCTTTCATAATTCAGTTAAATCAGATTAAGCCTGTCTATGTACAGAAAGTATAACTGAAGCCGGCGTAATCAGATCACGTTCGGGACGTGCGTCTGTTCAGTAATTTCCAAAGCCCCCAGTCAATACGATCCCTCCGTCAATTTAACTCCCCCCGTCCGTCCTCCGCGGTCTCCCCAAGTGATAAGTGCGGAAACAGCAATCAGAGTCAAAAAAATGGCACTGTCTGGATTGTGATATTTCATCCCCGACTTTATGTTTTCTCCCAGAAGCATTTCATCTGCGAAGATAAAATATACTGCTGTCACATTCCCAGGTGGTTAAATTGTGGCATGAGTGTTGGGGACTGACAGCAACAGAAATGAGATGAAGGGATGGAAAGGCTGTGAAGATGAAGAAGGGAAAAAAATAAAGTTTGGGGGAAAAAGGCCTTCATTTCACGTTGAATAAAGGCCCGTGTTTACGAGATCGTTGCCTCTCTTCAGTCCAGTAAAAGAGGACACTAGAAAAACAGTAGATGGCCTGGGAGGGACTGTGATTGACAGGCCCGCCGTTCAGGCCTCCGCTTTCGAAATGCAACCTTTTCACGGTAATAATTCAAAGAAAAGCGTTTCATGCTGCTATAAAAAAATCCAGCTCACTGTGTCCATGAGGGCTGTAATGTTATCTGTAGCGTTTCCAAAGACATGGCAACTAAAAACACAAAATAGAGTAAAAGTTTATAAAAAAAAAAGAAAAGAAATAAAAACGTTCGTATGACGAACATGGGCTGCCAGACGAAATGTGATTGGAAAATAATTTAGCTGCCCTACAAGGGATGTATGATCGATCGTGGCTATTTTCTCAGTGGAAAGGTTTAGAGCGAGCACAAGGTCACAGGATTACACTGAGTGTGACACCCAGTCTACCTGTTTTATAGTGCTTTGGATTAAAAGGGAGCACCGGTGGTGCATTAGAGAGCCCAGACATAACTTAAGGCCATTATTGTGTAGATGGGTCTGGAGGAGGTACGAGTTTCCCTTCAGAAAAAGCAAAATGAAGACATAATTAAAGCAGCTAAGCTGTCAATCACAGGAAAAGCCCGGTGCCAGTTTATTTTAGGATATATGCCAGCCGAATAATCATGACGTGCTGACGTTACGGCCGGTGCGGCCCGCCGGGCTGGCTGTGGATATATCTGCTAAGCGCAGGAAAGACAAGTAAACGGAAGGGTATTTTAGCCTTGGGGGAGCCAATGAGAAAGAATTATAAAAAAGATTAAAAACCGGCAGCAGTACTGGCATGTTTGTTCTGCTGTATTACCGCATTAAAAATAAATAATTAATAATAATAATAATAATAATAATAATCATAATAATAATAATGCTATGGAGTCTGTTATGGACATATGTGCTAGATTTAGGAAAAATCACACAAAAAATAAATATATAAAGACTACGATGCATCAATGAATCACTAGACAGTGAGGTCAGACATAAGCCAGAAAATAAAACTGTCAATAAATAAATGGCTGGAGAGGAGAGCAGCGCGTCTGTAAATCAGGTGTTCTGCACTCGCCGTTTCGTCTGCCGCGAGGGCACCACGTCCTTCCCGGGTTGGCGTTCAGCTGGGGGGGGGGGGGGGGGGGGGGGGGCTCAGGGACAGCGGGCACGGCGCGCAATGAGCCCCCGCGCTGCACAGCGCACAGCTGGGGGCTGGGGGGTGGCTGTAGCTCATTGATCCTCACCATAATGAAAATGTAATTAATGAATAAATTAACAAATAATAGTGCGTGAGAGGCATCAGCCTAACCCTTACTGCTCAATTTAAATCATGACTTTCTTAAGCCAGGAAAATAGAATAATGTATTTCGGAGGCGACACTGAGTTACAATATTTTAATATGCAGAATTATTATTATTATTATTATTTAATCTTTTGCCATTAATCATGAAGTAGTTGCATGCAGAAAACTAGGCAAGTTGACACTAATCATCTAGGGGATTCATTAATAATTAATTAATAAAACTGAATAAAGGAATAAATAAATAAACAAACAAACAAACAAGCAGAATGTGATGTCATGTTAGTTTTTACCTTCTGGGGAAAGTCTCTTGCCCTTTCCATAGTAAATCCTCTCAGTACGCGCAGCACTCCTCTCGCTCTCCGTCCTTCATGCAGGCTGGGGATGCAACAGAGTCCACGGCTCCGGCTGGCTTCAGGCTGGCGTGGACGGGTCGGTGGCACGTTCCCCACGGCTGCATGCTGCCCGTGTCCCGAGGCGAGTCTCCTGCAAGCGCTCGCCGCTCTGCTCCGCTCCCCCCGTCCGCCCCCTGACGGCTCAGCCTGGCGATGTGAGCTGCGCTGCTCCCTTGGAGAGATCAGAGGATTACATTAGGCGCTGGGAGCGCTGGCAGGGACGCGAGGCTGTCTCTTCCCCGTGCATCTCCCCGAAACGGCGAGCCACTTTCCCCGGCTCTGCCCCAGCCATAGTGCCTCCACTCTCACTGTTAGCAGCTCATGTAGGACTTGCCTGCTCCCCTCGAGACCCCTGGGAAATGTTTACAGTAATGAATTCTGTTGATAGCGATCTTTTTACACTCCTCTCTCCTCTCTCTCTCCTTCCTCTCCTGTTCTCTCGCTCTCTCCTCCTGCTCTTGCTTCCTCTCGCCTCCTGTGCGCACTCTCTCTCTCTCTCTCTCTCTCTCTTTTCTTTCCTGCTCACTCAGTGTTTCTCACTCTCTGTCCCTCCTACCCTCCTGGAATGAAAAATGCCTCCCTAAGAGCCAGCAGAAGCAGCTGTAAATGGCCCAGAGCCACCCTCTTCCTCTCTGTTCACCTCATTTGTTATATTTTCCATAGTTCTGAAACGGATTTGATACATGCTATTTATTTTTCGTACCCCGAGATATGCGGGAGGTAAATATCCTGTTTAATGATTCTACGAAGACTTTAATATAAAAACATTAATTATAATTACATTGTGTATTTTTGTTCTTTGAGCTTTTTATTATTTATTTTTAGTTCTCTGTTCCTTTTTTTGTTTTTTCTCGGCCCGAAATAACGTTCGCTACATTATACTGCAAAACTGGATTTAATTTGTCACTGAACTCTGAGGTCGAAATGAATAAGGGAAAACATTAGCTTTGGCGAGGTGACCGGTTTGCGCTTGCATGTAAACGTCGGCACGCAGCGTATCCGCTGGCTCCTCCACAGCAGACCTGAGCTGTTTTTCTGTGCAAAGCGCCCATGGCAGATATAGCTGTGATAAACGGAGCGACTGGCTGCTTTTTCCTTCCCCTTGCCTGTAAGAGAGGGGTGGTGGCTGCAAGGTTTCTCTCATGCTAATCCCAACACTGTGATGCTCAGAAGTGAACCGTCCTGGATCTCCTGCAGCTGGGGGAACGCCCCTCTCCCAAATCGCTCACGAATCGATGGGCCCCCCACCCTCAGAAATGCTTATACCCCCATCACTACTTTTTAGATCCATCCAAAAATCCTCTCACCGTTTACCCTGGTCAGAGTGCCTGGGGGGGCTGTGCCAGGCAGCACGGCGGACAGGGCCGGGGGGGGGACAGGAATGGATGCCAGTCCATCATACGCAATTTAGAGACTTTAATTATCCTAACTGCATGTTTTTGGGCTACAGGAGGAAACTGGAGAACCTGGAGAACACTCATGTGACATGGAGGGAACATGTAAGAATGTACAGGGAGAGCGGTGACAGGAATCAAACCACAGGCCTGGAGGTGTTAGGTGACAGTGCTGCCCACAGAGCCACCGTGTCACCCTGCTACCATGTCACCCAGCCGCTGCTTATGTAGGACTCTCGCGGACAAGGAATGGCTGCGGTACTCATACTGTACGAAAATGGCTGACTATGTTTCGAACAGCAGTAAAAAAATCTCAGTAAGAAAAAAAAGCAGCATTTATTTTCTGTTTATTTATATTGTTAAAGTACATTAGTACTTTTCATTACACATATTTTAAAAATGTGTACTTTACAAGCATGATTTTCATAATACATTAATTTATATAACATGTAAAATGACTCTGTACACAACCCCCAATTCATCCAAAGTAAGACTAAGACGACAAGGAAACTCACTAAATCATCCTTTGAGTATTTAACCTCATGTATTTTACATGTAGCTAATTCTCATATTTTGTGATGCACTGTGGAGATCTGAGAGCAAGGCACCGTGTGTGGTTTTGCGAGACAGCGACATGCTGACCTGCACTGGTCAAATGGCAGCCTGCGACACTGAGGCCACTCTGAAACATTCCAGGGTGCGTTCCAGCCCCCTCCGCACCCCCCACCACCCCAAATGTCCTCCTCCTTCAGGTGCCATTTATTTGTGCCGCCGCGACCGAAAGTGTTTATATGCATTCAGTTGCAACTGGAGTAATCTGTACTGACCATCTTAGCCCAAATCCAAAGAGCGATTCAGCATCTGTTCTGCATAGCTTGCAGGACTGGGGTTTGACACAGCGGGTGTCCACACACACACATACACACACACACAGCACATGTGCACTGGGACTCACACATGCACACACACACACACACACACGCAATATACAGACACCCCATCCGCTAAAATTATCCACCATGTCAGATATGAAAATTTGGCTGCTTGACCAAGACCCGAGGCGTCCGCATACCGCACAGACCCACGGCCACTGGAAGACAGGCGTGTGTCAGGCCCCTAACGGCTTCTCAGGAAGGACCGAGGCACTCAGGCATGCTGGAAGACCTGGGCCTAGGGCACTCCTAAGATAGTTATATCCATGCGACCTCTGTGCTGCATCGACGGCCTCCTGGAACCCCCCTCAATGCCCCCCAATGTGCTATCTGCCCTCTGTCGTTCAATTACCGCTAACATCTCAGCTATTAGCGCGGGTGTCCGGGTGACGCCCCGCGGACAGCGGCGGGGGGCAATAATGGATGGCCTGAGTGTGGGAACAGGACGCGCTGGCTGCGTCACGCCCCGCAGATCAATCGCTCCCCAGTCATTAGTAGGGGCTGACTGGGGGGGGTTTGGACACTTCACTGACAGTGAGATACGTCATACTCCGACTGCAGCATCCACGTGGCTCAGAGGCTCGCTGGACGGCTTCCTGGAGGCGTGGCCTTTGTTCTCTGAACTCTCCCTAATTCATTCTCGCTAGGTACCGTCCCCCAGCATCGTCACACTCCATTTCCGCGTGACATTCTCGCTGTCTTTTGGGTTTAATTTCCTACGGTAAATGCTACAGCTGTCAAGTCCTCCCCTGTGCCCTCCCCCTCTGGACAGACGTGCCCGTCTCCTTCCACGGAATTAAATTCCGTCAAAATTTGCCCGTTGGACATTAATTAATTACTGGCCTGTGCGAGGCGTGTCCGACTAGGGGGTCTGCCATATCGAGAGGTCATGCGCGGTTAGATAAACACTGACAGAGATGTCAACCAAAATGGCAGGAAGCATGCGGCTTGTACACAGGTTCCACTTCCTGTTGCATTACTACACTCTTCAAGCCATAATGGACCCATGCTGAGATGCAGCTCCGGCCCAAAGTGAGTAAGACCTAGACGCGGCATCCCAGACAGTGCCCCAATCCTGTGAGTGACGCCAGCGAGGATGAGCTTAGCGGGGGTGCCGGCGACACACCTGCCGATGAGGGTGGCCAGATGTCCTGGCACAAGTCCCTCAGGCGGCACCGCTGGGACGCTCTCTCTTCACCTGAAGTGCCCGAAAAGGAAGCACCTTCTCAGATCTGCAGCGATCATCTGGTGCCAGCCTTTCCTCTTCCCTCTCAGACACTCAGTCGACTCCCCTGAGGCGTCATTAGCTTTGCGTGTCATCTGAATTTTACACATATGTCTCGTGTCGCTTCCAAGCTACCCCTCTCCACCAAACACGTAAACACCCCACCAATAACGGTAACGGCAGAATAGGAACGTTCCTGGGTTTCACCGTCATGATTCCCTCGTCACCGTCTTCCCGAACTGTGAGCGATTTCACAAGAGCTGCATTAACGTGTCTGTGTCGTATCACGTCTTAGGAAACTCCTGGAATCACTCTGTTTCTGCATTAGCGCGCTCGACGGACTCCGTCTCTCCACGGAGCCGGAAAATGGTCATGCAGAGCAAATTCACGGTAGATCGCACACCGCTACCAACTCGGCAAAAAGCATTTTTAACACACCCAGCCCTGCGGCAAATCTATAGTGTCATTAAGCTTTCATTACATATAAAAATGCTGAGCATTGGTAGAATTGCCCATGGATATTTTTTTCCATCCGAGCATTTAATTACATTATTAGATAAGTTATTAAGTATAATTAACATGTTTGAGTCTGTGCTTATCATTTTCAATGCTTTATTTTTCATTTTGGTGTCACAACACCCAAAGATTAACGCTACCCTTTCTCTGAAAATATATTTTAGACCAAGAGGCAATCAATAGGTTGCTGTTTCACAGTCTGTGCATCGTAATAAGGTGGCAGTAGTGCACAGGAATTCATTAATTACTAACCAAACACGAGGAAGACTGTGACGGGAAATGGTCAAGTGTTTTTCCATTGAGTGTTTTCCATGATGATTTTTTTGTCCTCCAACAGCATTTCGTTAACTGGTAACTAAATCCACTGATTTTGTTTCTTCCCATGACTAGAATGAAATATCCTCCAGAGACCCCATCCATTCATTTATGTCCATTGCAGTGGACATTTTGTTTTTGCATATATCTTTTCACTGATGTAAGGAAACATATGTATTCCTGTTGTACACTAAAGAGGACATGCTGTGAAATTAAAAATAAATTTGAAAAAAGATGTCTTATTTCCTCCAAAGACAGAAAATCACAATTAACCTAAAACTGAAGGATACTTTTTTCCTTGGGTCTCAGGAGGATATACATTTGTATCCAACACCAAAACACAAACCATAGCCCAGTACCAGGCATATCTGCCAAATAAGTTCATTTGACTTTAGGATGATTATTATAGTATTATAGTATGTTGATGCTTCCATGTCCCACTCTCGCCAATGTGGGGAAGCAATAAAAAAGGCGAACAGAATGTTGGGTTATATCTCTATATGTGTGGAGTTTAAGTCAAGGGAGGTGATGTTACACTTATATGATTCCTTGGTAAGACCCCACCTAGAATACTGTGTGCAGGTTTGGTCACCATACTGTACCTCAAGAAGGACATTGCTGCCTTAGAAAAGGTGCAACGAAGAGCTACGAGAATGATTCCTGGTCTTAGAGGAATGTCTTACGAGGAGAGGTTAGCGGAACTGAATCTGTTCAGCCTTGAGCAAAGGAGACTAAGGGGGGATATGATTCAGGTCTATAAGATTCTAACGGGTCTGGATGCTGTTCAGCCAAATGACTATTTCAATATTAGTCTAAATACTAGAACTCGTGGCCATAAGTGGAAATTAGCGGGAGAACATTTTAAAACAAATTTGAGGAAGCACTTCTTTACACAGCGTGTAGTCAGAGTATGGAATAGTCTTCCTGCTATTGTAGTGGAAGCTAAAACCATGGGTTCCTTTAAATCAGAGCTAGATAAGATTTTAACAACTCTGAGCTATTAGCTAAGTTCTCCCCAAACGAGCTTGATGGGCCGAATGGCCTCCTCTCGTTTGTAAATTTCTTATGTTCTTATGTTCTTATGATTACATGTAGCCTTATTCGTCTAGTGAAAGTCCATTTATATATTTTGCCACTTCACAAAAACATGCAGTAGCTCATTGTAGATAAAAAAAAATCTACTACATAATTCAATAAATGGACAGGTCTCCATGACAACCTCTCTCACTCTTCTTCTGTCTCTAAACTTTAAAGTATATGAATTTCATAAAATAAATTTCAGAATTAATTCTGTAGCCTTGACACTTAATTACTTGCAGCGCATGAAGGTCATCACAGGCGTCTCTGTAATGGAACAGAGTTGTGTACATCTATTTGA